CCCCCCGGCCTCCCCCGTGCCTGCAGCAGGTACCTGCTTGGCTCCCTGCTCTCCCCAGAGCTTCTCTCCTCGTTTTGCCAGCTGCATCTCACAAAATCCGGAGTGTGGTGTGGAGGTTTCCGGCTGGTTTTCCCCTGGGGGCTTTGCCTGAGCGCGATGCTGAGGATGAGGATGGTTGCTGCCTGTCCTCAGCTCAGTGCCAGGGGGATGGGGATGTCTGCTGCTGGGATTCGGGCTGGAATTTGGCTCTGTGCACCCCCAGCCTCCCTCCAGAGCTGCCACAGGGGCTGGGACAGGCTGGGACTTGTCCAAGGTGCCCCAGTGCCAGCCCAGGTGGCTGCACCCCCAGCCCCAGGGGCTCCAGAGCTGCTCTGGGCTCTTTCCCTGTGCCAGTGAAGCACACAGGGAATGCCCAGTTGGGAAGGGATATCCTGTGAGGATGGGAGACCCTGGCACAGGTGCAGTGCCAAGGGCAGGCTGGACAGGGTTTGGAGCCCCTGGGGCAGTGGGAGTGTTCCTGCCCAGGGCAGGAGTGATCTTTCAGGTCCCTTTGAGCCCAAATCATTCCAGGATTCCATGTGCTGGCTTAGACTGGATGTTAGGGGTGAGCTCTTGCCTGTGGGGGTGGTGGGAGCCTGGCACAGGGTCTGCCCCTGTGCCCCTGGCAGTGCCAAGGCCGGGCTGGGCAGGGTTTGGAGCCCCTGCCCCCCTGGCAGTGCCAAGGCCGGGCTGGGCAGGGTTTGGAGCCCCTGCCCCCCTGGCAGTGCCAAGGCCGGGCTGGGCAGGGTTTGGAGCCCCTGCCCCCCTGGCAGTGCCAAGGCCGGGCTGGGCAGGGTTTGGAGCCCTGGGGCAGGGGGAGGTGGCCCTGCCATGGCACCTCCCGGTGCTCTGGGGAGGCAGTGACCCCAGGGCAGGGCTGGCTGTCCCCAGAGCTCTCCCCCTGTGCTGCAGGTGGCACCGAGGACTGGCCCTGTCCCCAGATCACGGAGTCCCAGATGGGTTGGGCTGGGCTGGGATCTCAGGGATCACCCAGCTCCACCTCCCCTGCCGTGGGCAGGGAGCAGGGACGTGCTGGGGCCAGCTCTGCTGTCCCCAGGCCACTGTCACCGCTAGATGCTGCTCTTGGCCAGGACTCTGCTCCAGCCCTTCCCTCCGTGGCAGTTCCTCCATCCTGAGCCAGTCCATCCCTTCCCTGCCAGGGGTAGATCCCTGCTTTGTCCTTCCCCCTGCTCCCCAGAGCCCTGCTCACTCCCTGCCCTGACACGGGGACCTGGGGACACCCTCACCTGTCCCAGGTGAGGGGACAGGGTGTGGCTTTGGTGACAGAGCCCTGGTTTCTCCCCAGGACGAGACTCTGGGTACAATTCTGGTGTGCCAGGGTCCCAGGTGGAGGAGAACCTGTACGAGGAGCCCCCTGAGCCCTCGGCCATCTACGAGGAGCCCCCCCAGGTGAGTGTGGGGACCCCAGACTGGGAGAGCCTGCCTTGTCCCACCCCTAGGATGAGCCTGGAACTAAAAATCTGAGATAAAATGATTGGAAATGGTGGAACCCCGGAGCTCAGGGGTGCTCAGGATGGCAGAGGGGGGCTGCTGTGTCCCTTCCCAGTGCTCCCAGTGGGAGACACTGGTGCTGAGTCCCTGGCATCCCGGGGCTGCTCCAGCTGTTGTCAGAGCCACATCCCAGAGCCAGTGTGGGGAGAGGATCCATCAGCCTCTTCCAAAGCCCCTTCTCCTCCTTCCCTGCCATCCCAGAGCTGCCCATCCCAGCTGTTCCTGGTGCCTCCAGGGCTCTCCAGAGGCTCCTCCTGGGGTTGTGCTGTGCTCCCCCTCTGGTTTGTTCCCTGCTCACCAAGCCACCAGCATTCCAAGCATTTTCTCGTTCTGGAGCTTGTCTGGAGGTGTCCAGCAGCTTCCAAAGGGTCCCAGAGGAGATGGGCTCGTGATCCCCTCAGCCTTTCCTGAGGAAAGCAAACCTCAGCCAGCCAGGCTCCAGCAGAAACGTTTCAGGAGCTGTTGGGGCTGAGGCTCTGTGTGCAGCAGGGGTCCCTGGGCTGCCTGTGGGCTGAGATCCCCAGGGACAGGCACTGCTGCTGGGCCACGCGGCCTCCTTGGCTCAGAGCTGGCTTGCTGCTGTGGCAGGCAGGTGGCACAGCTTCCCTGGAGCCCAGGTTTTATTCCAGAGGGCACTGGAACCTCCAGCCACGGCTCCCCACGCCTGGGGGGGCTGATGGACAGTCCTGGGCACTGCACACTGTTGTTCTCTTCCCTCCCACTGCTCTCCTGCTAATTCCTGCTCTCCTCTCCTTCCTGAAGGAACAAGTTGACGATGCCAAATACGACTACAGGGTGGAGTACCAGGAGCCCCCCGACCTGGCGGGGAAGGGGCTCTGTGCCCGGGCACTGTATGACTACCAGGCTGGTGAGACCCTTGTCCTGTCCCTCCATCCCTTCTCCCAGCTCTCTTGGAGCCCCCTCAGGCACTGGAAGGGGCTCCAGGGGAGCATTCCCAGCTCTCCCAGCCTGGCTCCATGGCAGAGGAGCCCTGGAGCAGCTCCGTGGCCGCTCTGGGCTCGCTCCAGCAGCTCCACATCCCTCTGACCCTGCAAACCCCAGAGCTGGGCTGCTTGGGGCGCTCTGAGCCCGCTGTCCCCTCTGTCCTGCTGCAGCTGATGACACCGAGATCTCCTTTGACCCCGAGAACATCATCACCCACATCGAGATGATCGACGAGGGCTGGTGGCGCGGCTACGGCCCCGACGGCCACTTCGGGATGTTCCCGGCCAACTACGTGGAGCTGATCGAGTAGGGGGGCTGCCGGGGGGCTGCTGGGGGGCTGCAGACCCCTGGGACTGCTCCAGACCCCTGGGACTGCTCCAGACCCCGAGCCCTCCCAGCTCCTGCCCGACTCTTCCAGCGACACGTGGCTTTTTCTTCTCTGTTTCTCTCTCTCTCTCTCTCAGTGAAGTGCCATTCCCCAGTCCCTCGGCAGTGGGGGCCCCCCAGCGCTGCCCCCCTGTCCCCCATAGCTGCCCTTGGGTGAAGGAAGGGTCCCATCCCACCCTGAGCCCGCAGTGCTGGTCTCCCCCTCCTCCCTCGGCTCTGGAGTGGGAAGGAGGGCGTGACAAATCCCTCACGGGAATTTTCAGGGAACAAATTACCTCCCCCCTGTGCTCCCTCCCTCTCTCTCCCCGTGACCTTGGACCTGCTGCAGCCATGCTGGAGAAGCCGCTTTCCCAGGGTGATTTCATTGGAAAAGCTCATCAGGATGGTTCTGGGGTCCTGCAGGGTCTGGCATGGCCAGGAGAGGTGAATCCTGTCCCCAGCACCCTGAGCTCACCCCCTGTGAGATCCTGTCTTCTCCTCCCTGCTCTCCCCACTGCTCCCTTCCCTCACCCCAAACGTGCTGCGGGGGTTTGAACTGGGGGTGAAAAACCTCCCCTGCAGCACAGATCCAGCTTGGGACCCCCTCCCCAGCCCCAAACTCACTGTGAACACGGAAAAGCCCAGCCCAGCCCCTCCCTCTCGCGTTTCCCTGCCCTGCTGTCACTTTAGGAATAGAAGGAAAGGTTGGGGGGGTCCCAGCTCCCCCCCCTCCTGCAGGTGCTGGGGGCCGTGGTGGCTTCTCTGAGTCCCTCCCCCCGAGCTCCTTCTCCTCCCCTCTCCCCCCCGGGCCCTCCCCAGCATCAATAAAAGGGCTTTTCTTTGGTGATGGATGTAGCAGGATCCTGGTGGGAGCTGGGGAGGAGCGCCGGGGGTTTGTCCGCAGTGCCAGACACGGGGAGGTGCAGGTGGGGCCCCCCCAGCTCCGGGCAGGCCCCGGCATTGTTGGGCAGTGACTCACGGCTGGGGGGGCCACGCGTGTGACGGTGCTGGCGGCCGCAGCTGCCACGTGGCCCTGCCACCGGCGGGGCCCGGGGAGCCTGCGGGGCCGGCGGGGTGGGGACCCCCCCAGCATCGCCCCCCAGCATCGCCCCCAGCCTGAGCCCAGCCCTGCCAGCTGGGGAGGGGTCACACGTGTGGCATGTGTGTGCTCTGGGGGCTGTGTCTGGGATCCATCCCCGGCCAGGCGGGGCAGGGTCCCCGTGCCTGTGTGACCCGTGGGGTGGGGGGGATTCCATGTGCAAAGTGTGTTCCATGTGTGGGATCCCATGTGCAGGGTGTGTGTTCTGTGTGTGTTCCATGTGTGGGATCCCATGTGCAGGGTGTGTGTTCTGTGTGTGGGATCTCACCTGCAGAGTGTGTACAGGGGGCACAGGGGCACCAGGGATGCCAGGGTATGGTATGGGGGTACAGTGGGTGCCGTGTTTGGGGCTACAGGGGCACAGGGGTTTGGGGGTACAGGGGCACAGGGGGTACAGGGATATGGGGGCACAGGGGGTGCCAGGTTTGGGGGCACAGATAAACAGGCGCTGCCGTGTGCCCGCCCGTGCTCGGAGCCCGGTGCCGGTGTTGGTGCCAGCCCCGGGGTCGGGCCCTTTCACGTGGGGCCGGGCTGGTAGCACAGGGCTGGTGGCACCGGTGTCCTGCTGGTCCCCAGGCCGTGCGAGCGCTGCTGCAGCGCCAGCCCCTGCCAGCCGGGCCCCGCACAGCGCCGCGGCGGGCTCGGTGCCAGTCCCAGGCGGTGCCGGTCCCGGTCCCGGTGCCAGGCAGCGCCAGCCCCAGGCAGTCCCGGTGCTGGTCCCGGCGCCAGTCCCGGTCCCGGTGCCAGTGCGGGTACCAGGCAGTCCCCGTGCCAGTCTCGGTCCCGGTGCCAGTCCCCGTGCCAGTCTCGGTCCCGGTGCCAGGCAGCGCCAGCCCCAGGCAGTCCCGGTGCCGGTCCCGGTGCCAGGCAGCGCCGGTGCCGCGCGGTACCGGTGCGGGTTCAGCGCGGGTTCCCGGCAGTCCCGCTGCCGTGCCAGTGTCGGTGCCGGCCCCGTTCGGTGCCATCCCGGTGCCGTTGCGCGGCGGTGCCGCCTCGGTGCCGGGCGGATCCCGCCCCCGGCCGCAGCGCCGCCCCCGCCGCCCGTGCGGGGCTCCGGGGCTCTCGGGAGCGGGGCCGCTGCGGAGCGCGATGGTCCCGGCGGGGCCGCCCCGCTCCTGCCTCCTGCTGACGGCCGCGCTGCTGCCGCTGCTGCCGGTACCGGCACCGGGGGCAGCCCCGGGCCCCCCCGCGCTCACCGACGCCGAGATCGAGGAGTTTCTGCGCGGCTTCCTCGGACCCGGGGACGGCGGCGACCGGGACGGGGACCGGGACGGGGACGGGACGGAGCTGGGCTTCGGCACCGACCTCGGCACCGGCACCGGTGAGCGATCGGCCCAGGGTCCCCGGGAACGGGGTGCGGGACGGGGCTCCCCCAGCCCGGCCCCGCGCTCACCCGCCCCGGGGGCTGCTCCCCCTCCTGCCCCCGCAGGAGCTCCGGAGCCGCTGCCGGAGCCTGAGAAACCCAGGAAGGGGAAGAAGGAAAAAGCCCCCAAGAAGCCCAAGGAGAGACCCCGGGGCCCCAAGAAGGACAAGGACAAGGACAAGGAGCGGGGCAAGAACAAACCCCCCAAGAAATCCAAGGAGAAGCCACCGAAAGGCTCTGAAAAAACCCCAAAAGGATCTGAAAAAACCCCAAAAGGCTCTGAAAAACCCCCCAAAGGCTCCAAAAAGCCCAAGGAGAAGCCCCCCAAGGCCACCAAACCCTCTGGCAAGAAGCCACCAGTGCCACCAAGCCCCCCCACTATCCAACAGCCCTCCCAGGGCAAGGAGGATGAAGAGATACCCGAATTCCTGGAGCCTTCTCACAAGGAGGAGGAGGAGGAGGAGGATGGAGGTGTCCGAGGTCAGTTTTGGGGACACCCACCTTGGGGCTGGGGTGGGAGGTGTCAGCCCAGCAGAGCTTCACCCCAAATCCTGCCAGCTGCCCTGGCAGCATCTGCAGCTGGCTGGGCTTTGTCCCCTGGGGTTTCCCCTCTGTCCCCCCACTTTCCTCCCCACTGTGGGGCTGGGGGGGGTCAGGACAGGGCCTGGGGAGGCCGTGCCAGCCCCTCGCTCTGTCTCTGTCCCCAGGAGAGCTGGAGGAGCCACCAAATGAGCGCTGGGGGCTGGGCCGGGAGGACTGGAGCCCTGAGCCCCAGCCAGGTGAGTGCCCAGTCCCCAGGGCCACCACCCTGTGTCCTGGGGACACTCCTCTGCACCCTGGGGCTATCTCCTAGTGTCCTGGGACTGCCTCCCTGTCCCCAAATGTCACCTTCCTGCACCCCAATGTCATGTCCCAGCTCCCCAGGGCCATGCTCCTGCAACATGGGCCACCTCCTTGTCCCCAGATGCCACTTTCCTGCCACCCCAATGTCACCTCCCTTTGTCCCAGCACCATCTCCCTGCATCCCAGTGCCATCCTTGCACGCCAGGGCCACCTCCCTCCTCCCTGGTGTCCCTTCCCTGCACGCCACTGGGGTCACTCCCTGCTCCCGAGTGTCACCTCCTGCGTGCCCCAGGGCCACCACCCTCACCTCAGGGCCTCCTTCCTGGTCTCAAGTGCCACCTCCCCGCTGTCCCCTGGCTGTACCCCTGTGTCCCTTGTCCGCAGAGGTCCCCGAGGAGCCGGAGCCCCCGACCCTGGACTACAACGAGCAGCTGGAGCGGGAGGACTACGAGGACTGTACGGAGCTGGGCAGTGCGGGGGGCACGGGGGGCACTGGGACGTGTCACACAGCCAGTGCCACCCTCTGTGTCCCCAGTCGAGTTCATCCGGCGGCAGCAGAAGCCCCCAAAGCCCCCGGGCAGGAGGAGACCGGAGCGGGTGTGGCCCCAGCCCGAGGAGACGAGTACGTGGGAGCACGGGGACCGGGGGCTGGCACCGCCCAGGGTGACACTGGGGGACAGTCCCCAGCCTCGGGAACCCAGGGTGACACTGGGGGACAGTCCCCAGCCTTGGGAACTGAGGGTGACACTGGGGGACAGTCCCCAGCCTCGGGAACCCAGGGTGACTCTGGGGACAGTCCCCAGCCTTGGGAACTGAGGGTGACACTGGGGGACAGTCCCCAGCCTTGGGAACCCAGGGTGACACTGGGGGCAGTCCCCAGCCTTGGGAACTGAGGGTGACACTGGGGGACAGTCCCCAGCCTCGGGAACCCAGGGAAGCAGCATTTTGGGGTAGCCTGGGGTGGGGTGGACATGGGGACAGTGTAAGGGGTGTGGGGACCCTGTAGGGGTGTGGGGATCTCGTGGTGGCACGGGGGTCCTGTGGGGATATGGAGGGGTCCTGTGGGGACACAGAGAACCCTGCAGGGACATGGGGACCCTGTGGGGACACAGAGAATCCTACAGGGACATGGGGACACTGTAGGGACACAGAAAGCCCCATAAGGATATGGAGTTCCCACTGGAGCATGGGGAGTTCTTGGGGGGACACTTGTGGGGGTCCCTGGGGGGCATGGGCATCCCAGTGGGTACAGAGGGGTGCGCTGGGGACATGGGGACCTCACAGTACCAAAAGGGAAATGGGGGTGCCCCAGGGGCATGCTGACCCCATAGGGGTCATGCTGTCCCACATGGGGACCCCCGCTGCCTCCCCGTCTCCAGCTCAGCCCCTTCCCCTCCCCAAGCAGAGCCCGAGGAGCCCCCCCCGCAGCCCCCCCCGCAGGGCCCGGGGGGATGGGGGGGGTGTGCCCGTGGTGGGCAGTGTGCTCCAGGGTCGATGGCAGGGCCACAGGGAGGGTGGCATGTCCCTGGGCTGGGTTCCATGCCCACGGTGGGTGGCACATCACCAGGGTGGGTCCCGTGTCCCGTGGTCAGTGGCATGTCCCTGAGATAGGTGACACATCTGCATGGTGGGTGTCACCTCCCTGGAGTGGATGTCACATCGCCAGGGCGGCTGTCATGTCTTCAGGGATGGTGGCACATCCGTGGAGTGGGTGGCATGTCCCTGGGGTGAGTGACATGTCTGCATGGTGAGGGAGGTGGCATGTTCCCGGGGTGGGTGTCACACCCCTAGCATCAGTGGCACGTTCTTGGGGTGGGTGGCATGCTCCTGGGACTGGTGTCACCTCCCTGGGGTGGGTGTCACCTCACCAACAGCGAAGCCCAAGAAAGAGGAAGAGGAGGAAGAGGAGCGCTGGGTGGAGGAGAAGGGCCAGGACCGCAAAGGTGGGTGCCAGCCCCCATTCCTGTCCCCTCACATCTGTCCCTGTCCCTGCCCCCATCACTGCGCCTTTTCCTTTGCCAGGAAAACCCAAAAAACCAGGAGGAAAGAAGTGGGACCCAGATGAGGAGGAATGGGCCCCTCCAGCAGAGAAGAAAAGTGAGTGTCCCCATTCCTGGGGTGACAGGGACACCCTGCTGGGGAGTTGAAGTCCATCACCCCCTGCTGTCCCCAGGGTGTCCCCCGATCGGGCTGGAGTCCCACCGCATCGAGGATGACCAGATCCTGGCCTCCTCCATGCTGCGCCATGGGCTGGGCGCCCAGCGCGGCCGCCTCAACATGCAGGTGAGGGTCACGTCCCACGGCCACGGTGACACCCCCAGCCCCTGCCCCACGGGCTGTGGTGACACCCCAGTGCCCACCCACGGGTCACGGTGACACCCTCAGCCCCTGCCCCGTGGGTCACAGTGACACCCCCAGCACCCACCCACGGGTCACGATGACACCCCCAGCCCCTGCTCCATGGTGACACCCCCAGCGACCACCTATCTGTCAAGGTGACACCCCCAGCACCCACCCAAGGGTCACGGTGACACCCCCAGCCCCTGCTCCATGGGTCACAGTGACACCTCCAGCACCCACCCAAGGGCCACAGTGACACCCCCAGCTCCTGCCCCATGGTTACACCCCCAGCCCCACGGCCACAGTGACACCGCCAGCGCCCACCCATGGGTCACGGTGACACCCCCAGCCCCTGCCCCACGGCCACGGTGACACCCCCTGCCCTACGGGTCACGGTGACCCTCACGCCCACTCCCCGCTCCCCAGGCGGGCACCAACGAGGACGATTTCTTCGACGGGGCGTGGTGTGCCGAGGACGACAGCCGCGCGCACTGGCTGGAGGTGGACACGCGCCGCGTCACCATGTTCACCGGGGTCATCACCCAGGGCCGCGACTCCCAGATCCAGTACGGGGACCTGGGGCTGCAGCCGGGGACGTGGGGCAGGGGAGCAGCGTGGGGACCCCTGTCCCAACCTGTCCCTGTCCTCCCACAGCGACGACTTTGTCACCAGCTTCTATGTGGGCTTCAGCAACGACAGCCAGCACTGGGTGATGTACAGCAACGGCTACGAGGAGATGGTGGGGACCGTTCTGGGCGGGTGACATGGCAGCCACGGGGAGGGAGCCTCCGGGGTACATCTCTCCCTCCTGGGCAGATGTTTTACGGCAACGTGGACAAGGACACGCCGGTGCTGAGCGAGTTCCCGGAGCCGGTGGTGGCCCGATACATCCGCATCTACCCCCAGCGCTGGAACGGGAGCCTCTGCCTGCGCCTTGAGGTCCTGGGGTGCCCCCTCTCTGGTAACAGTCACCCCAAAGCAGCCTGGGGGCCACGGGGGTGGGACCTCTGCAGCCATCCCCCGCTGCTGTGTCCCTGTCCCCTCCACAGCTGTCAGCAGCTACTACACCCAGCAGAACGAGGTGACCTCCACGGACAACCTGGATTTCCGACACCACTCCTACAAGGACATGAGGCAGGTGGGCACTGCTGGGGGGGCAGATCCAGCAGGGGTGAGATCCTCTGTGGGGATGGGACACCCATGGTTGTGAGATCCTTCATGGTGGTGGGATCCTCCACGAGGAGCAGACACCTCTGTGGTGGTGGGCACATCTTTGGGGCATGGCATTCTCTGTGGCTGTGGGCACTTCCATGGCGGTGGGCATCTTCGGAGGGTGGGACCCTCCATGGGCGTGGGATTCTCTGCAGCTCTGGGCTCGTCCCCCCAAGCCCTGCCCCCATGTCTCCCCACCCTGCAGCTGATGAAGGTGGTGAATGAGGAGTGTCCCACCATCACCCGCATCTACAACATTGGCAAGAGCTCGCGGGGGCTGAAGATCTACGCCATGGAGGTCTCCGACAACCCGGGCGAGCACGAGACGGGTGAGGGAGGTGTGAGGCACTGGGGCCCCCGGCCGTGCTGCCAGGTGTTTGCTGACCCTCCTGGACCCCCCAGGTGAGCCCGAGTTCCGGTACACGGCGGGGCTGCACGGCAACGAGGCGCTGGGCCGGGAGCTGCTGCTGCTGCTGATGCAGTTCCTGTGCAAGGAGTACCAGGATGGGAATCCCCGCGTGCGGGGCCTGGTCACCGACACCCGCATCCACCTCGTGCCATCCCTCAACCCCGACGGCTACGAGCTGGCCCACGAGGCGGTGAGGAGGCCGTGGGGCAGTGGGATGGGATGGCAAAGCCCCCCCATCACAGCTCACCAGTGCCCTGGGCTGGCCGAGGGCTCCAAGCTGGGCACCTGAGATGTGCCAGAGAAGGGGATGGCACCAGGAGCAGTGGGTGGGACATGGGTGGTGGGATGCAGCCCCCCTGGACTCACCAGTGTCCTGGGCTGCCCGCAGGGCTCCGAACTGGGCAACTGGGCGCTGGGCCATTGGACAGAGGAAGGCTTTGACCTCTTTGAGAACTTCCCCGACCTGGCCTCAGCGCTGTGGGCAGCCGAGGAGAGGCGGCTGGTGCCCCACCAGTTCCCCAACCACCACATCCCCATCCCGGAGCACTACCTGTCCGAGGATGCGGCGGTGAGTGCGGCACAGGGCACACGGGCGGGGAGAGGGTGGCAGGGGGGTGACACCTCATGCCCTGCATTTGCCTCACAGGTGGCAGTGGAGACACGGGCTGTCATGGCGTGGATGGACAAGAACCCTTTCGTACTGGGAGCCAACCTGCAGGGAGGGGAGAAGCTGGTGTCCTTCCCCTTCGACACGGCCCGGCCCAGCCCCCCAACGCCGGCAGCCGCCCCCCGCCCGCTGGACTACGAGGATGAGCGCCCTGAGCTGCAGGAGACCCCCGACCACGCCGTGTTCCGCTGGCTCGCCATCTCCTACGCCTCGGCACACCTGACCATGGCCGAGACCTTCCGCGGGGGCTGCCACACGCAGGACGTGACCGACGCCATGGGCATCGTGCAGGGCGCCAAGTGGCGGCCCCGGGCTGGCAGTAAGTTGGGGCCAGGGGCCTGGCTGCCCCATAACCCGGCCACTGGCAGGTGAGCAAGGGGCTGGGTGGGTGTGTCTGTGCTCTTGCAGGTATGAATGACTTCAGCTACCTGCACACCAACTGCCTGGAGCTCTCCATTTACCTGGGCTGTGACAAGTTCCCCCACGAGAGCGAGCTGCAGCAGGAGTGGGAGAACAACAAGGAGTCTCTGCTCACCTTCATGGAGCAGGTGTGTAGTGGGACACGACCACAGCTGCCCCAGCTGTCCCACGCCGTTCCACTCACCCCTCTCCCTCACCCAGATCCACCGGGGAATCAAGGGCGTGGTGACAGACCAGCAGGGAGAGCCCATTGCCAACGCCACCATTGTGGTGGGGGGCATCAACCACAACGTCAGGACAGGTAGGTACTGCGGGGTGCTGGCAGGGCGCCGGCAGCACCGTGCCCACCCCACCCACCCTGCTGCCCCCGTACCCGCAGCCAGCGGCGGGGACTACTGGCGCATCCTGAACCCGGGCGAGTACCGCGTGTCGGCGCGGGCCGAGGGCTACAACCCCAGCGTCAAGACTTGCCACGTGCTCTACGACATCGGGGCCACCCAGTGCAACTTCGTGCTGTCCCGCTCCAACTGGAAGCGCATCCGGGAGATCATGGCCATGAACGGGAACCGGCCGATCCGCCGCGTGGTGCCCGGCCGGCCCATGACGCCCCGCGAGCGCATGCGGCTGCGGCTGCGGCTGCGGCACCGCATGCGGCTGCGGGAGCAGATGCGGCTGCGGCGCCTCAACGCCACCACGGCCGCCAGCGGCCCCACGGCCCCGCCGCCCACCACGGCCCTGCCCTTCCCCTTCAGCAGCACGGCCTACACGCCCTGGAGCCAGGAGCCGCCCACTGCCGGCACCTGGGAGATGGACACCGAGACAGAGGTGGTCACCGAGCTGGTGACAGAGACGGAGGGCTGGGAGTTGCACACGGGGACGGCGCAGCCGCTCACCACGGCCGAAACCTACACCGTGAACTTTGGGGACTAGGGACACGTGACCCCTCACTCTGCTTCAAGCTGTGGTTCGGACGCTTTGGCATCCGCTTCCAGCACCTTCCCTGAGCCCAGGCAGCTGTTCCAGGTGGGCTCCAGCCCCTCACCTTGCTGCTTCCAAAGGACTGCAGGCATTGTCACCAACAGCTGGGTGCTGTCAGGGACACGCTACCCCATCCCTCGGAGCCGGGCAGTGCCAGCCCACTGTCCGTGTCCCAGTGGGGTGGCAGGGGTGGTACTGCTCTCCTGGGCAGGGCCCATGGAGGCGGGCACAGCCTTTCTCCCCTCCATACAGTTTTTGTTACACAAATAAATCAAGTTATATTGGTATGAACATCTTGCCCCTCCAGTGCTTCCCCAGCTCCGTCACCTCCCAGAGGACAGACAAATGCAGGTGGTGCCAGGACCCCTTGAGGGGTGGGGGCTTGTGGAGTCTGTGGTCAGTGTCCAACTTCCATGTCCCCATCCTCACTGTCAGCCCCGAAGCTGGAGAAGGTGATGGGCTGGCAGCTGAGGTCGCGCAGGTTGACGAGGCAGGCGGTCTGCGTGGCGCTGAAGTCCGGCACCGCCAGCAGCAGCACCCGCTGCCCCTCCTTCCCTGCAAACACAGGTGGGTGTCAGGCAGAGGAGCCCCCCGGCAGCCCCAGGAGGATCAGGGGGTGCTGCGAGACCCACCTTGGAGCAGCTTGGACTGGAAGCGGGGCGCATTGCCGCAGAAGTAGACGTGAGGGCACTCGGTGAGGATAAACGGGTCAGATTTGTAGAACGGGTAACAGCCTGGGGAAGATGGGAATTAGAGGGGAAGCCCCTGGCAAAGACCCCCCCCCCCCACTCAACAACCCCCCAGCCCTCACCATACCCAGGGTGTCTGGGGCCGTGGGGCTGATGTGTCCTGCCAGCAGTGTCCACTCCAGGATCTCCAGGTAGTCATCCATGCTGCTGTACTTGAAGATATCACTGATGTTTTGTCCTGACGTCCCTAAAAACCTGCATCATGGAGGAAAGAAGAGCAGCTTTAGCTGCTGGACATGCCGGGACGTGTCCCTTGGTCCCACGGCACTGACAGGCAGCAGAGCTGGTAGGTTTGTTTACCTGACCCCGTCCAGGCTGGCCTGGTAGGGGTTGGTGACGAGGCGCAGGGTGGCGTAGGCGCTGGCCAGGGGCAGCATGCAGCGGTGCAGCGGCTGCTGCGGCAGCGTGTAGTTGGTGGGGTCAAACTCGCCGGGCATCACATCCACGGGCACGGAGGTCTGTGGGTACAGTGGGATCAACTGGGTGGCCAAAGTGCCCTCCAAGAGGGCTCAGAGCAAAGCCCTGGTGTCACTGCTGCTGCTTTTCCTCAGGACACCCCACTCGGCTTCACCGAGGATCCCAGGAGAAGGATTTGGAGCTGCCTCTCCATATGGGGTGCTCGAAGGGAAGCTGGGTGCTGGGGAAGGGGGTTTTGCCACCCTGCACCCCAGACTGTTACCCTGCCTCAGGAACAAGGCTCCTTCCCCCAGAGGCACCCGATTCCATGGCCAACCCCGAGCACTCACACAGAGCTGCAGCAGGATCTCATCCAGCATCTTCACAGCCTCCACACTTGCAGCCTGTGTCTTCTTGGTCAAGTACTTGGCCTGGGTAAGCAGGAAGACAGTGAGGGACAGCCCTGCACCCCCTCTGCCCCCTCCCCACGCCCCAAGGGAGGCCGCAGCCCCCTCCTTGCCGTACCTTGTTGATGGTGTCTCGGCTCTGCGTGTTCTGGCTCAGCAGATTCCCAGCCAGAATGACACGGGTGATGTGGGCAGCACAGCTCTGCTCGCCCTCTGCCCCCAGCTGCCCCGTCACCACATCCACCAGCAGCTGAGTGCTCAGCAGGGCCTCCCCACTGACGCTGCCCAGCCCCAGCCCCGAGGCCAGCAGCACGAACCTGCATGGATGGAGAGGCTCAGGCAGTCTGCCACGCTCCCAAACTTAGGGGCTTCAGAGAGCCAGGGCAGGGGGCCCAGACCCCCTGGCAGCCCCCTGGGCAGCAGGGTCTCAGGGATGCAGCAGGGACACAGTGCCAGCCCCAGCTGTGCTGCTGCTGCTGCCTCACCGGTCGGAGCTGGGCCCGCTCCAGGGCAGCGCGGGTGGCAGGTCGGCGAAGCAGTGATCCTCCACCAGGAACCTGCCATCTTCCTGCTCGCAGCCATACACGGCCACGATGGTCCCTGCAGCACAGCAGGCACTCAGCCCCAGCCAGCCCTGCAGGCCGGCTGCCACCAGAGCTGTCCCTTACCTGTCACCAGCCTCTGCACATCGATGGCTCCGTCCAGCTTGATCCGCTGCAGCTCATCCTCCAGCATCAGCTGGTCACAGGGCTGGATGTACTTGGGCAGGGGGGGCTGAGGCACCAGGTTGTGCTGCGAGAGCACAGGGACAGCTCTGATGGCCTCAGCAAGGACCAGGAGCCCCCAGGGACCCTTCCCAACCCCAGCCCCCCATCACCAGTACAGCCAACACCCCAGCTGGGGTCCCAGCAGCTGGAACTCCTCAGGTGGGCTGGTTTCACTCACTGAGCAAGAGTGGTGGCAAGCAGGCAGGGAGAACAGATGGACAAAGGGTGGGTTTAGTTTGGACATGGGGAAGGAATGTGAGGGTAGTGAGGCCCTGGCACAGGTTGCCCAGAGCAGCTGTAGCTGCACCTGAATCCCTGGAAGAGTCCAAGGCCAGGTTGGATGGGGCTTGGAGCAACCTGGGCTAGTGGAAGGTGTCCACACACGCTGGCACCAAGGTGACCAAGGGCCAGGCCATCCTGCTCAAATCTCTGCCAGTTCCCTGGCTACAACGAGCACAAGGAAGCCATGGTGAGCTCTCAGGTGGGCTGGCACAGCCCCCCCGAGCTGTGTGGAGGAGGAGAGGGCGAGCCCATTACCTCCTCGCTGATCTCCTGCAGGATGGAGGGCTGGAGCTGCATGTCCTTGAAGAGCGTCCCCACCACGCAGCACTTCTCTCCCTCCTGCAGCTCCGAGAGCCTCCGCAGTGCAATGTCCTCCCCTGTGGAGACACACGGGGGTCGGTGGCCCTGGGGTGACGCGGGCACGGCGCAGGGCTGGCGGGAGCAGCTGCAGGGCCCCAGCGCCGAGGTGCTGGGGAATGTTGGGAAGCCTCCTGCCTCTCCTCGAGGCACGGCGCCCAGCAGACATGTGTGGGCCAGATGGGGCCGAGGAGCATTCCAGAGCCTGCAAGCCTGCAGGCATTTCCTCTGTGCTGGGGGGAAAGCTGGGTCACGATGGTGTGTTCAGCTCCCACTAACAGCTCTGCCTGGGAAGGGCCCAGGATGCACCCTGGGCACGGGGGGCTGCTGTTCCAGGGCCCAGGATACACCCTGGGCATGGAGGCTGCTGTTCCAGGGCCCAGGATACACCCTGGGCATGGAGGCTGCTGTTCCAGGGCCCAGGATGCACCCTGAGCATTGGGGGCTGCTGTTCCAGGGCCCAGGATGCACCCTGGGCATGGGGGCTGTTGTTCCTGGGCCCAGGATGCACCCTGGGCATGGGGGGCTGCTGTTCCTGGGCCCAGAATGCACCCTGGGCATGGGGGGCTGCTGTTCCAGGGCCCAGGATACACCCTGGGCATGGGGGGCTGCTGTTCCAGGGCCCAGGATACACCCTGGGCATGGGGGCTGCTGTTCCTGGGCCCAGGATGCACCCTGGGCACGGGGGGCTGCTGTTCCAGGTCCCAGGATGCACCCTGGGCACGGGGGGCTGCTGTTCCTGGGCCCAGGATACATCCTGGGCATGGGGGCTGCTGTTCCCGGGCCCAGGATGCACCCTGGGCACGGGGGGCTGCTGTTCCAGGGCCCAGGATACACCCTGGGCATGGGGGCTGCTGTTCCCAGGCCCAGGATGCACCCTGGGCATGGCGGGCTGCTGTTCCTGGGCCCAGGATGGACCCTGGGCATGGGGGGCTGCTGTTCCTGCTCTCTATCCAGGGGATGACCCAACATCCCACTGGGAGCTGACAGGCAGGAGATCACTCAACCCCCCCAAACCTGATCTCTGCCAGGGCCAGATCCTCTGCCCCAGATCCCTGCTGGAATTCAGGATCCCCATCACTTCCAGAGAAGGTCCTGGCATGCTGCCAGGTCCCTGGGCTTTAGGCAGGGATCCACAGAGGATGCAGGCAGGGAGAACCTCGGGAGCTGCAAGAAGCATCACAGCCCCAACGGCATCCACCTTGTGGCTGAGGAGCAAACATCTCCCTCATCACAAGGTGAGCCCAAAACTGGGGACCCAGAGGTGCTCCAGCCCCATCCAGTGCGTGTCCTCCCATCCAGTATGGGGCTGTGGGACTGTCATTCCCTGCTTAAACCAGCCTGTGAAGTCCATCCTGAGCCTGAGGCCCTGGAGAAGAGCGAGGAACCTGCTGCTGGTCTCCTCTCCCAAAACAACACTGCCTGCACCAGCTCCTCATCCCTTCTGGGTGACACTTCTCCTCCCAAAAATCCCACTTTGCTCATCACGCGCTGCTGAACGTGACTCTTGTCCCAGGGAGAGCACCCCGCTGCCATCCCTGGCACCCCACGCTGGAAACATGGATTCCCGAGCCCAGGAATGCAAACACTCTGAGTCAGAACAAAAACAGTCCTGTTGAACTTTCTTATTTTTGGCTCAAACTCCCCAAAAATGTGTGTTCGGGAGGAGGGGGCCGTGCTCTCCAGATTTTTGCCCGCAGGCGCTTCCTGCTGGGAGACAAACCCCAAAATCTGGTCCCATCCCAGGACTCCAGGAGGTGGAGTTTACAAACCACTGGGTCCTGTCACACTTGGCCAAGCCCAGGGTGGCCAACCAAGGAACGACATCCGCAGTGGGACCAGCACTGGCTTTGCTTCCACAAACCCAGGGGGCTGGGGAGAGCACAAGCACAGGCGTCCAGCCCAAAAGCTTCCACTGAAGGGGATTTTGCCCATAGAAGGGCAAAGCTGAAGGAAATTTGATCTCAGGCCATGCCCAGGCTGGGGAGGGGGGGCACAGCCCCAGCAGCGTTGCTTCATCCCGCGGATGGAAACTCTGAGCACGAGGGTCCCACCCGCAGAACCACAGCCCCCCCCCAGGCAGGAAACAGCCCCCCCAGCACCTCTCACCCCCCTGTGCCCCACTTCCTGGCCTGGGCCCCACAGCCCCAGCCTGACAAACACTGCTCCTGCTCCCTAAAGCGTGTGGGGCAATGTGGCAACCGTGGTCTCCCTGCACACACCCCCCTGCTATCTGTGATGCAGCTTGTCCCAAGGTCAGCACTCCCGGTGGGAGCTGCAGCAGGATTACCCCATAATCCAGTGGGTTATCCCATCATTCCTGTGCATGCCAGAGCTGGGGGGCTGAGCTGCTTGCTCTGCTGCACACCTGTGTCAAGGGTAAAATGATGCTGGGGACTGGCACAACTGGGTACACTGGAGCTGCTCGGGTTGCAGGAAGGTTCTGGGTGGATCCCAGCCTGGCAGGGATGGACTCCCCCCAACAGGGATGGATTTTGTCCCCAGGGATGCCTGCAGGGTACATCCAGCCTGGGGAACACTCACCCCTGGATTCCAGACACAAATCTGGTCAAACACACAGATAAAATCCAAAGGCAGCTCCACACATGTTGGTTGCCAAGGCCACCCCTAACCCGTGTTCCCAAGTGCCAAATTCACACAGCCATTATTTCCCCACAGGGATGGGCACTCCAGCATTGCCCTGGGCAGCTGTGCCAGGGCTGGACTGCCCTTTCCAGGAAGGAATTTTCCCAGTATCCAACGTGAACCTCTCCTGGTGCAAATTCAGGTCGTGTTCTCTTGTTCTGTCCCTGTTCCCAGGGAGCAGAGCCCCCACTGGCTGCCCCCTCCTGCCAGGAAATTGTGGAGAGCCAGAAATTCCCCCCTGAACCTCCTTTTCTCCAGCCTGAGCCCCCCCAGCCGCTCCTGCTGCTGCAGCTTTGTCCCCACCCCTGGACTCCAGACCCTCAGTGTTTTCCCCAAGGCAGTATTTCCCTGGGCAGTGCCTTTCCTTGGGCAGTGTTTTCCCAGTGGCAATGTTTTCCCTTTCCCCTGGCAGTGTTTTCTCAGTGCAGGTTTCCCCTTTTCCCCTGGCAGTGTTTTCCCTGGGACAGTGTTTTAATCAGTGTTTCCCCTTTTCCCCTGGCAGTGTTTTCCCCCTGGGGCAGTGTTTCCCCAGTGCAGGTTTCCCCTTTCCCCTGGGAGTGTTTCCCTTTTCCTCTACCAGTGTTTTTCTCAGTGCTTTCCCTTTCCCCTGGCAGTGTTTCCCTTTTCCCCTACCAGTGTTTTTCTCAGTGCTTTCCCTTTCCCCTGGCAGTGTTTCCCTTTTCCCCTGGGCAGTGTTTTCCCTGGGGCAGTGTTCCCTTTTTCCCCAGCAGTGTTTTCCCAGGGCAGTCTTTTTCTCAGTGCTCCCCTTTCCCCCTAGGGCAGTGCCTTTCCCCTGGCAGTGTTCTCCCTGGGGCAGTGCTGACCTTTCCCCTGGCAGTGTTTTCCATGGGGCAGTGCTTTCCCCTGGCAGTGTTTTCCCTGGGGCAGTGCTCCCCTTTCCCCTGGCAGTGTTTTCCCAGGTGCAGTGCTGCCCTTTCCCCTGGCAGTGTTTTCCCCGGGGCAGTGCTCCCCTTTGCCCTGGCAGTGTTTTCCCAGTGCAGTGTTTTCCCTGGGGCAGTTGCCTCCTGCAGTGCCTTTCCCTCGGCAGTGTTTTCCCTGGGGCAGCGTTCCCCTTTCCCCTGGCAGTGTTTTCCCGGGGCAGTGTCCCCCTTTCCCCTGGCAGTGCCTTTCCCCTGGCAGTGTTTTCCCTGGTGCAGTGTTTTCCCTGGTGCAGTGTCCCCCTTTCCCCTGGCAGTGTTTTCCCTGGGGCAGTGTTTTCCCTGGGACAGTGCCTTTCCCCTGGCACTGTTCTCCCTGGTGCAGTGCTCCCCTTTCCCCTGGCAGTGTTTTCCAGTGCAGTGTTTTCCCTGGTGCAGTGCTCCCCTTTCCTCTGGCAGTGTTTTCCCTGGTGCAGCGTTCCCCTTTCCGCTAGCAGTGTTTTCCCGGGGCGGTGTCCCCCTTTCCCCGGCAGCGTTTCCCCGCGGCAGCGCTCTCTCCCCGCTCACCCCATCGGCCGCGGGCTCGCCGCTCCAGGCGGGGCCGCATGGCGGCCAGGCGCACGGCGTAGATGTGGGCGTACTGCCGGCAGAAGCTGCGCTCGCCCAGCTGGAAGGGCTGCGAGCAGTCCGAGTACCCGCCCGCCGCCACCCGGGGGAAGGTGGGGGGCTCCTTTCCCCTGGCAGTGTTTTCCCTGGGGCAGTGCTTTCCCCTGGCAGTGTTTTCCCCGGGGCAGTGCTCCCCTTTCCCCTGGCAGTGTTTTCCCTGGGGCAGTGTTTTCCCTGGGACAGTGCCTTTCCCCTGGCACTGTTCTCCCTGGTGCAGTGCTCCCCTTTCCCCTGGCAGTGTTTTCCAGTGCAGTGTTTTCCCTGGTGCAGTGCTCCCCTTTCCTCTGGCAGTGTTTTCCCTGGTGCAGCGTTCCCCTTTCCGCTAGCAGTGTTTTCCCGGGGCGGTGTCCCCCTTTCCCCGGCAGCGTTTCCCCGCGGCAGCGCTCTCTCCCCGCTCACCCCATCGGCCGCGGGCTCGCCGCTCCAGGCGGGGCCGCATGGCGGCCAGGCGCACGGCGTAGATGTGGGCGTACTGCCGGCAGAAGCTGCGCCTTTCCCCTGGCAGTGTTTTCCCTGGGGCAGTGCCTTTCCCTCAGCAGTGTTTTCCCAGTGCAGTGTTTTCCCTGGTGCAGTGCCTTTCCCCCGGCAGTGTTTTCCCAGTGCAGTGTTCTCCCTGGGGCAGTGCCTTTCCCTCGGCAGTGTTTTCCCTGGTGCAGCATTCCCCTTTCCCCGGCAGCGTTTCCCCGCGGCAGCGCTCTCTCCCCGCTCACCCCATCGGCCGCGGGCTCGCCGCTCCAGGCGGGGCCGCATGGCGGCCAGGCGCACGGCGTAGATGTGGGCGTACTGCCGGCAGAAGCTGCGCTCGCCCAGCTGGAAGGGCTGCGAGCAGTCCGAGTACCCGCCCGCCGCCACCCGGGGGAAGGTGGGGGGCTCGCCCGCCGGGGGGGCCAGCAGCCCCTGTGCCGTGGGGGCCGCCTGCTCCGAGAACATCCTCCGGGGCTCGGGTCTAACCACGGCTCTGGAAAACAAACCGGCGAATTGAGGATGCGGTGAGACACAACAGCCCCCTGAAAATGGCCATTCCCGCCCCAAAATGCAAACCACGGCCGGGCCCGAGCCTTCCCCTGCATGCTGCAGCCCTCAGAGCCCTTCCTGCAACCCAGGGCATCCCGACCTCATCCTGAGCGCACCATCCCCTCCCGCGATCCCCCGCTCTCCCCAGCGGGCCCCGCACAGCCCCCAGCAGACACTCGGCCCGGTACCACCCTCCTACCGGCGGCACCGGGACCACCGAGGACACGACAGGCCCACCGCCCCAGGCCCCCCCAGGCTGCAGACCGCACAGCTCCCCCCAGCCGGTCCGTGCGGGGTGAGGGGGCACAGGCCGGTCATGTACCGGGTGAGGGGTCAGAGGCCGGTCCGTGCGGGGTGAGGGGTCACAGGCCGAGGGTCGCCGCCGGTACCGGGGCCCGCCATGGTGGGCGGGGCCGCGGCGGGAAAAGGCGCGAACGCCGCGAAGACGGAAGATGTGCGCCGCGCGGGGAAATGACGTCAGAGCGGCCGCGAGAAACGCTGTGGGGGGACATGGCGGGGACCGGGACACCGAGAAACCGGGACACCCACCGAGGGACCGGGACACAGCGACATAGGGACACAGCGACATAGGGACACCGGGACATAGGGACACCGGCCCGGGGCCCCTCGGAACCCATGGGGTGAAGGGCGCACCGTGACCGACCCCGGAGGGAACACCGAGCCCTTGCGCTGCCCAGAGGGGTCCCGGGAGGAGCCGGGACAGACCCCCCGGTAGACCCTCGGGAGTCCGGCCAGGCCCTCCCCGCCCCACCTTGGTTAGGGGCAGCGTCTCTGAGGGGGCGAGGCTGGGGGTGCTGAGCCCTCCGTGTCCCCCCCGTGTCCCCTCCGTGTCCCCCCCCGTGTCCCCCCCCGTGTCCCCACCGTGTCCCCTCCGTGTCCCCCCCGTTCCCCCTTCCTGCGGGGTGGAGCTGCGAGGCAGGAAGGGCCCGGGGAGCAGCCGTGTTGGGTTTTCAGGGGTTTTGGGGTTTCGGTCCCCCACCCGCGGCCCCGCTATAAAAGGTGTCACACGTAGCAGTCACCCAGGGCCAGTCGCCTGCTGTCACCGGCTGCGGGCTCGCCATGGCTGCCTCCTTCCTGCTGCTGCTGCTGCTGCTGGGAGGTAACGGGAGCCTCCTGCACCCCCGGGGGGACGGGCACCCCGAGTGCAGGGGACGGGACACGTGGGGACAATGGGATGGCAGCCTGGATGACTGAGCTCGGGGGGCTGGGGTCTGTGTGGGGATCTGTGTGTGGCAGGGATGGGGTCTGTGTGGGGACAGGCACTCAGGGCTGTGGGAAGGGTCTGTGTGGGGACCTGTGTGTGGCAGGGATGGGGTCTGTGTGGGGACAGGCACTCAGGGTTCTGGGGAGGGTCTGAGTGGGGACCTGTGTGTGGCAGGGATGGGGTCTCAGGCACTCAGGGGTGTGGGGAGGAGGACAAGGGGACAGGCAGGAGGGGTGGTGGGGGCCTGCAGGGAGGGGGTCTGATGGGTACAAGTATCTGGGGGTGGCAGGGATGGGGTCTGCCTGAGGACCCAGGGATGATGGGCATGATGCCCACATTGGGACCTGGGGACGTTTGGGGACAGGGTCTACAACAGAAGGATGTGAGTACAGGCCGGAGGGATGGTGGGGCTGGGGCTGAGTACCTGGGGCTGCTGGTTTAGGGGTCTGGGCACCTCCGTGACGGGCACCCAACCTGCAGCCACGCTCACCACCCTGTCCCCATGCAGCAGCACAGGCCACGGCCCCCCCGCCCTGCCAGGGTGACCCCAGCTCGTGGTGCTGGGACACGGCCACGGCCACGCGCTGTGGCTGGGAGCAGCAGTGCCAGCACCTGCGTGACAGCCTGGCCCTGGTGAGCACCCCAGCCCCAAGCACTGCCAGGGCCACCCAGGGGTGCAGGCAGCCCTGAGCGCCTGTCTGTGCCCACAGGGGAACGTGGCTGATGGGGACAACGTGGCTGATGGGGACAACGTGGCTGACACGGCTGATGGGGACAGCGTGGCACAGCGCAGGGTCGTTAAGTGCCGCCTGTGCACCAAGGTCCTGAAGAGGATACAGAAGCTGGCAGGTGACAACCCTGACGAGGTGAGGGGTGATGAGGGGCTGGGGGGCCGGGCTGGGGGGCCTCTCCCTGTGGCCCCCTGACCCGCGGTGGCTTTGGCAGTCGGCGGTGGCAGCAGCGCTGCAGAAGGGCTGCCGGAAGCTGGGCAGGGCCTTGGGCAAGGAGTGCCAGAAGCTGGTGAAGAACTACCAGGAGCAGATCACCGAGGGGCTGCAGAACGGGGACACGCCCCGGGACATGTGCAGTGCCATGGGCATCTGCCAGTCCTGAGCGCGGTCAGTGCCCACCTGCATCCTGATCCTGCATCCTGTGTCCTGCACCTCGCATCCTGCATCCCCATCCCATACCCCCTGTGCCCTACCCTGTGTCCTGCACCCCACATCCCGATCCTGCATCCTGCACCATGCCCTGCACCTTGCATGGCAGTCCCACACCCCCTGTCTGCACTGTGCCCTGCCCCCTACAGCCTGCTCCTGAACCCACATCCTGCACCCATATCCTGATCCTGCACCCCCTGTCCCAGTCCTGCACTGTGTCTTGAACCCTGCATCCTGCACCCCACATCCTGATCCTGAACCCTCCGTCCTGCACCCCACATTCTGATCCCTATCCCCCCTGTGCGTCCCACACTTTACACCCCGCATCCCTCAGCCCACACCTGCCGGAGGGGTGGCAGTGTGCTTGGGGTTTCTGAAGCTTCCCTGCTGCACTCTGTAGGGTGGGGGTGAGCCAGGTCACCCCACAGTGCGTTGTGGAGCAGGGTGAGGGCTGGAGCAGCTGTTTCCACTGGCCCCTGACACCCCCTGCTCTTTCCTTTCTCCACAGGCTCAGCCCCGAGTGCCCCCAAACCCCGACGCCCCTCCAGCCCCGATGCCCCCGCAGCCCAGCCATCCCCCCTCCACAATAAAGTCCCTCCTCTGGCTCCAGAGTCTTGTTTGTCTGCCCTGGGGGGACATGGTGACAAGGGTGAATGGCACCAGGCACTGGCAGTGGACGGCTGGGGCCAAGGTGACACTGAAGGTGCCAGCAGTAGGGTGGGGATGTGTCCCTTGTGGGTTGGGGTGAGCGTTCCCTTCACACACCCGGGTGGTGCTGGCTGTCACTGTCCCCTCCCTGTGCACCCTATGCCTGGCACTGCATCTGTCCCTGCACTTGGCAGTGTCACTTGTCACCCGCTTGTCACCGGTGCTGCTGTGGGCTTGGGATCCTCCTCATGTCCCAGCTGAGCACAGGGCACCCCTGCTTCAGTCCCAGCCAATCAGAGCACAGGGAATCCCACACCCCTTTTTTTTCCCTTTAATTCCAGCCAATTGGAGTGCAGGTAATCTCTTCTGTTTGCCCCCAGCCAATCAGAACAGAGAGCCTGCAGGGCTCTGAGAGCTGCCACCAATCAGAGCTCCAGGATGTCTTTGCGGTGTGAACCAATCAGAGCTCAGGGAATCCTGCAGGCCGAGGGCAGAGCAGAGGGATCCCAGTGCCACCTGCAGTGGGGAGCTCTGGGGGTCCCAGTGCCACCCCTGCGGCCCTTAGGGGCACCTTGGGGTGACACAGACACCCCCTGTGTCCCCAGCCTCTCAATGTGACCCTGCACTTTCTGAGGACACCGAGATCCATCGGTGGTCCCAGCCCCACTCCCTGTGGTGATCCACTCCCCCCAGGTGGTCCCGGGTGCCCAAGAGTTGCCCCAGCACCCTGAGATGTCCCTAGATCCCAGGTGTCCCCGTGTCCCAGGGACCCCCAGACCCCTGCAGTGGCTCCAAATATCAGAGATACAACCCCAGACCATAAAGATGGCCCATACCTTCAGGCTGACCCCAACACCCAGAGTGGGCTCCAAACCCCGGCGTGCCCCCAACCCCCAAAGGGATCCCAACACCCTGTGGTGTCCCAGGAGGACCCCTCCAGCCTGGGGTGCTCCAGACCCTCAGAGTGGCCCAAAACCCTGGGTTGCTTCCAGAGCCTTCAGAGAACCACGGTATGCTCTGGTACTGTCAGATCCTTAAAGGAACCCCCACACCCTGGGCTGCCCATGAATCCCAAAGGGACCCCAATACTCTGCTCCAGACCCTTTGGTGAACTCAAATCTCTGGGGTGTCCCACACCTTTCAGGGAACATGGATGGGCACATGGCTGGAGGGAATCCCCCAGTATGCCCCCCTCCATCTGATCTGGCCCATTTCTGGTGCACTCTGATCAGCCTCTGCACCCCAGGGATCACTGCTGGGGAGCTCCTCTACCCTGACTTCCCCCCCAAGTACCCCCAAAGAGCTCCTTATCTCTAGGCCACCTCCTTGGTGGGGGCTTTCTCCCAGCAGAGGGGCTGGAGCCCCCCTTGCTGCAGCTGTGTGATTATGGGGGAGGGAGGTGAGGGCACGGGAAGCTCCTTTTACCGCCCCATACGTGTGGGGCAGCCCCATGGGGGTCTCTCTACCAGCACGGGGAGAGAGGAACGCTGGCCCAAGCGGCCGCAGAGAAGTCCACACACACCCCGTTTATTGGGGGCCGGAGCCGCCTCCTTCCCGCGGCCGTGTCTGCTCCCACAGCGCTCCGGGAGGAGCACCGGCCCCGCCATCCCCCCTGAGTCCAGCTCACTGCCCCATCATGCAGGCCATCTTGCAGGCCACGGCGGAGATGAGGGCGGCCCCGCGCCCGCTGCCTTCCTCGGACTGGATGAAGGTGATGTCGCAGCCGGGCGTCAGCTGCCGCACCGTGGCGTGGAAGTGGTCCTTGAAGCTGGGGAGCGAGAACGCGGGGCTCACGGATGGGGTCGGGGCTCGCGGGGCCAAGGGAGAGGACGGGGATGTCGTCGGGGTCTGGGGATCCCCACCTGGGATGGAGCTTGTAGACGGAGCCGTCGACGCCGACCGTGATCTTGAGGGTGTCCTGGCTGCGGCTCTCCCGCATGCGGTTGATGACGCCGGCCAGCCCGGCCGAGCACATCTGGGCAGCGCGCGTGGACACGCTCTCGCACACCCGCCGCACGATCTCGCAGTCCGTCCGCGACGGCAGCAGCTCGAAGGCTGACAAGATGTTGTAGATCTGCTTGCGGTCGTCAGAATCGCTGAGGGAGGGGGAGAAAAAGGGGGTCGGCGAAGGTGGGAATGGGGGGACCCTGGGTGAGGCAGCTGGAGAGGGATGGGGGATCCTCGCACGGGATAGTTGTATGGGGTCCCAGCACGGGGAACCCCAACTGTGTCAGTCAGAGCAGAGCAGATTGGTGTAGGGTGATGGGAGGGGAGACCCCATCATGGGACTGGTGTGGGATGATGGGACAGAGGGACCTGGAAGTGGGCCCCCCCGTGGGGACCCTAATATGGGACAGAGCAGGCAGGTATGGAATGATGGGACCATGATGGGCCCATGAGAGGGGACACTGTGGTTTGGGTGGCACAATGCAGGGACTCCAAGATGGACAGTCAGAGTAGACTGGTGTGGGGTAACAGGTTAAAGGACCCCAAAATGAGGCAGTCAAAGCAGACTGGTATGGGATGATGGAACAGGAGGATCCCCTGTGGGACAGCCCAGTGCAGAGCGAGAGCACAGACTCCTCAGTATGCCTGGACCAGTGTGGAGTGAGAGTACAGAGCTCCCAGTGCCACGCAGCCTGGCAGGTGGTTTGGGGGTGTCACCCCCAGCCTCGTACCTCTCAATCTGGGACATGAAGCGGGTCTCAAAGGTCCCACGAGTCTTGAGCTTCTCAGAGGCCTCCCCATTGAAGAGCAGGTTCTCGTCCACCAGCTTCAGCAGCACCAGCCGCACGATCTCCCCCATGTACTTCCCCCCAATGATCTTCTCGTACCTGCGGGGGGGGACACAGGCGAGGGGGCGGCATCAGAGCTGGGATTTGAGGGGTCACATCCCACAGCACCCCCCCTTTCCTCCCCCATCCTCGCTGGATGTGTTCCCGTGCGTGGGCATGGCCCAGGGCGGAGGACGCCGGGGCTGGGGGCTGAGCCCGGCGCCGGGGGTGGGAGGGACGCCCAGAGGAACTGGATCTCTCCTATTCCTTACAGTTGCTGACCGGGGTTAAGTGAGGTCTCGTCCACCACGCGGTCGTACTCCAGGAGGAACTCGTCCAGCTCCCCCGAGGCACCGAAGGCCCCCCACTCCGTGTTCACGCACATCCGCCCCTCGTCGCCCTCCACCAGCTCCACGTTGTGCATCTCCTCCATGTAGCAGGCGTTACAGCCCGTCCCTGCCAGGAACTGGGGATGGGTCTGGGCAGGGGGGCAGCAGGGACACCCCCCACCACAGCCCTCCCGTCCCAGCTGGGATAAAACTGGGATCGTGTTCTGGAGCAATGGGGAAGAACTGGAGGGGGTCCAGACGTGCCAGGACAGGGGTTGGGACCCGTGTGGAGCCTGAGGGACGTTCCCCAGCCTGGTGACTTCAAGGGTGGCTCCAGGACATGGGGAAAAGGCTTCAGACTAAAAAAGGGGAGATTCAGATTGACTACTGGGAAGAAATCCTTCTCTGTGAGGGTGGTAGGGACTAACACAGGCCAGAGCCACCAACAGCCTGGAGGCAGGGCAGCCCTTTGGGGACCAGCCCTGTTATGATGACCACCCCCTTTCTACTCCCAAAGTGCCCCAGCCACCACGCTGGGGCCAGGCAATGCCATCGGGTGTCCCAGCCACCGGCCACCTCAGCAGAGTGCCACTGCCACTGCCCTGTGGTTGGTGTGTCTCCCCAAAAGGAAGGGGGAGCAGCAGGGGAGAGGGCCCATGGACAGTTCCCTGTGCCCAGCCACGTGTCCCTGTAGAAGGGGCATCTTACCCACAATCATCCCAACCTCGCACCGGTGATCTTCGTAGTAGCAGGAGATCATCGTGGCCACCGTGTCATTCACCATCGCCACCACGTCCATCTCGAAGTCCTGGGGACAGGGACCATGGTGGGCTCCTGGGGGGCCAGGCTGTCCCACAACGGGCAGGTTTGGGGTGGACGGTCCCCAAGGGGCGAGAGCCTGGGCACGTGTCATGCACACGTGTGTGCACACACATGGGACAGCCCTGCCCAGAGACACGCTCGGCTCCAGCAGCCCATGGTGGGGACAGCTGTGCTCCAGTGGTCCCTTCTTGGGGACACAGCAGGCTGCAGTGGCCCTGTGGCAGGCACGGGCAGGCTGCAGTGAGCCCCTGGCAGGCACAGCCGGGGTGCCATGGGGAACCAGCACAGTGAGATCCTCTCACCCCTCGCCGTTTGATGGCGTCCCTCAGCAGCCCCACCACGTTGTTCCCTTCCGCGCCGGAGGCTTTGAAGCCCTTGGTCCAGTTCAGGAGGATGCCCTGCAAGGGAGGTCACACCAAAATGGGGCTGTGGGTGTAGCTGAGGCTCGGGGAGCCCTGAGCCCTCGTGCTGCCCGCACACCCCCTCACCTTGTCGATGTCCTCGTGCCGCACAGGGAAGGAGAAGGTGAAGCCCAGGGGCAGCTTTTTGTGCTTCATCTGGTGCTTGTCCAGGAAATCAGAGATGCACTCGGAGATGTAGTCAAAGAGCTGGAAGACAGGAGGTCCAGCCTTTCCCAAGGGATGTCCCCACCCACGGGTTCCCCAGGCCTGGCCACCCCCCAGCTTCTGCTGGCTGGATGAATGGGAATGGGTGTGTCCCCTCAAGTGTTCCCACTGAAACACACACAAGGAAAAGGACTGGGATGGGATGGGATGGGATGGGATGGGATGGGATGGGATGGGATGCCCCGTGTGCTCCACTGACCATCTCAGCCGTGCCAGTCATGGCATCCTCCGGGATGGAATACATCTGGTGCTTCGTCTTCACCTTCCACTGCCCCTCCTCCCCCTCGCCCACCTTCACCAGCATCACACGGAAATTGGTGCCGCCCAGGTCCAGCGACAGGAAATCTCCCACCTCTGCAAAGCCAGGGAGAGGGGGAGAAGGTGATGGGCTCTTGGTAGGCTCAGCCTTGCACGTGGAGCTGGAAGGGGTGGCACACAAGGGACTGGCACCGTACCAGAGCCCTCGGGGGTGGAGCGCACATAGGTGGGCAGCATTTTCACAGAGGCTTCCTCATGTGTCTCCAGCTTGAGCCCTCGGTCCATCTCCTTCTGCATCCGGTGCATCACCTTCTTCAGGTCCTCCTCCTTCAGACGGAACTCCGACAGGATCTGCTCCACCTGCACACAGCACAGCCTCAGCCAGGGACCAGGGATTTGGGGTGCAAGGGGCCTGAACTGCAAGAATTTCAGGAAACTCCAAGTTTCCCTTCCCGTGTTTTCACACGGCCACCCTGAAATAACTGATCCTGTCGCTCTGCTGCTCCCCTGCGGAGCAGGGAGTCCATAGGACCCTCGTGAGGCACCAAGGCCCTTCTGGAGCTGCCTTCAGGACACCACAGTCAGCTCTGCTGTCCCTTGGCCTGGGGCTGGCACTGGGCTTCTGCCATCCCTGTCACCCAGCTGAATTGTTTGGGTGGCTGTGTAGAAGCCAGCACCATTCCAGCAGCGACCTGGGACCTCCCATCTTGGTGAAGCCCAGAGTCATTCCCAGCAAGGAGTGCTTCTGGCCATGCCACTGAGGAGCACAGCATCTCCCACCGAGGACATGGGATGCTTTTATGATGAAGATGCTGGTGTATCCTCCTTGCTCCCCTGGGAGCATCCCTCTCCCTGTATCCCACTGAGAACTGTGGGGTTTCACCCTTCAAATGTGGGGCTAAAATGGGGCAGAGGGCAGGAATACTCTCGGGGATTGCTGCCTTGTCTCGCTGCCAGGGAGAGCCGCAGGGCCCACTCCAGGGAAGCACCTGGCAAGCAGGATCCGTGTTTATCCTTTCCGTAGCAACCCCGGGAGCAGCGCAGCCTCCATTAGGCGGCAGGGCTGGGGCCAGGTGCCCCGGCTGTCAGATGGAGCCGGAGCCGGCTCTCCTCGGCCAGCTGCAGCCGCAGCATTAGGGCTCATTAGGCACCGGCTCTTCCCGGCACGCAGGTGTTTGCCTCGAGGCTGCTGCCGTTTCCTGACAGGTTTGGGGGGTAGGGGGCTCAGCAAAGCGTTTGGGGTGTGGTTTGGAGCGTCCCAGCTCTGGGGGCACCCCTTGGCGTGGCTCAGTGCAGCTGCTCTCTGTCCTGGCACATCCCCTGGCCCCCGGTGCCGTGGCTGCAGCACGGAGCCCCCCAAGAACGGGGCTGGGCACCCACGGCAGCATTCTGGTGAGGCTTGCCCTGATCCTGAGGGGGTTTGGCTCAGAATGACTGGGAAAATCCTGCCAGGAAAGCATGGAGCTGGGTCTGATCATCCCTCCTGGGTGCTGATCCATCCCGTGGCACCGCTTGGCGTGGGAACCTCCAGTGTGCCACGGCCGGAGGGTCCCCGTCCCAAGGCTGGCACTCAGGAGTCCCAGTTTTATTTCTCCACTGTTTTTCCCATCTCAGCACCACGTGTCCCTACTCATCTATCCAGTCGCCTTCAAAACCATGGGTTTGGCCCTTCCCTGGCAGGATCTGGGTCTTCCCACATGACGTTATTGGCTTTCAGCTCCCCATGGAAATGGTGTGCTGCAATGCCTCCCACCAAAGGGAGCTGGGAATTCGTGGCTGCTGGCTCCCAGTGACACCCATCTCTGCTGGTCCAGCACCTGATGAGTCCCCTCGGTGTCCCCCTAGTGTCCCTTGGTGTCCCAGTTGGCAGCAGGGGATGTCTCACTGTCCTCACTCACGACCCCCTGAGCTCAATCCACGTGGCAGAGGACGATTCCCACAAACAGCTGTTTTTTGGCTGGGGATGAGCCCCGTGCCACCCTGCTGGGTGCCTCAGTGACAGCCAGCTGAAGGAGGTGACAGGCCTCATCCCATCCTGGAGATGCAGCTGGGTGGCTGCAAGATGCCTGGGGCGATGCTGGGATGGTGGGAATCTCCCAGCCCCGGCAGAATGCCCCACAAACACTCCCAGCTCCATCACGAGCCCTGCGTGCTGTGGGGCCTGTGCTGGGGGGTGGCCTCAGGGATGGGGACCCCCAGGGCTGCCCCTGGTTTCCTCCCCACCAGCCATCCCCTGGGCTGGAACCTCGGGAGGTGCTGGGAGCACCAGGGAAGGCCGGACCCCGGTGAGGATCCACACTCTTCCCCCACCCACTGGGCCCCCCCAGAGCAGCCTCACCTTCTCCTTCCTGCTGCTCTCCATCCTGGCTCGGTGATCCAGCATGGGGGCAGGTGCGGGCAGGGGTGGGCTGCGGGCCGAGCCGTGCCCCCCTCAGCCCCTGCGTGCCCACCGTGGTGCCAGGCTGGGGGAGCCCCTGCCCTGTCCTGGAGCGTGTCCGCCGGGCCCTGGGCTGCTCCGTGCCTCGTCCCCGGCTCCGTCCCTCGCTCCACGTGTGGATGCTCCACTTTCGCTGCCTTATCTCATCTGCCGGCCCCACCGAGGCGGTCCCGACCCCCGGGCTCAGGCGGAGGGGCAGGCAGCGGGGCCCGGGGCCCCGGCGGGGTCAGCCCCACATCCTCTGCTCCGCTCTCCTCTCCCGAGCGCCTCAATAATCGCGGCTGGTGTCGGGGTCCCAGCCCAGCGCGGGGGGCTCCGGCAGCCCCTGGGGACCCCTGGTGCGCTGGCCGGGCTCGGCCAGGACCCTCCCCGCCGGCACCCCGCCCCGGGTCACCCGTGTCCCCGTCGCCATGCCAACGGCTCGATGGCGGTGGCAAGCACTCCAGCGGCCGGCTTGGCAACCGGAGCGCTCCCATGGAGACGGCGGGCACGGCGGGGCCCGAGCGCTGCGAGCCCCCGGCGTGGGGCAGCGCCCGCGGGGCTCCATCCGCCGCCGGCCCCGCGGGGAGCGGCGCTGGAGCCGCTGTGGGACGGGGATGGGGCACCCCCATCGCCCCGGAGCCGCCCGGTGTGGCGGAAATGGGGAGGCCCGAGTGGGATGAGGGGAGCCCCCGGTCGTGAGGGGCTCCCAAAACCTCCTGGTGCTGCTCTGGGGAGATCGCCTCACACACCCCGGCAAGGCCGGGCCGTGTCGGGGGGACAGCCCTGGGGGCTCGGGGGGGTTTGGGCGGCACAGCAGGGTCTGGGGGTGCAGGGGGACCCCACTGCCCCGCCTGGGGTCAGGAGCGGCCTGGCAGCCCTGTCAGCAGCCGTGAGGGCTCCTCGCACCTCTGAGGGGTCCGCAGCCCTCGGGGGGTTCAGCCCCCGCCCCCGCCATGGAGGGGACCGCAGCCCGGGGCAGAACCGCTCCATGGGAGGGTCCCCTGTCCCCAGGGCGGCCCCAGCACCCGGGGGAGGCTGTGCCCCCTTCTCAAGAGGACACCACACCGAGGGACAGGGACACACGGGGACAGGGCACACACGGGGACCCCCGCCCCACACAGGGGACAGGGCACACACAGAGACCCCCGCCCCACACAGGGGACAGGGCACATACAGGGACAGGGGACACACGGAGACAGGGCACATACAGGGACAGGGCACATACAGGGACACGGCCCACACAGGGACCCCCGCCCCACACAGGGGACAGGGCACACACAGAGACCCCCGCCCCACACAGGGGACAGGGCACATACAGGGACAGGGGACACACGGAGACAGGGCACATACAGGGACAGGGCACATACAGGGACACGGCCCACACAGGGACAGGGCACATACACATTGGACAGGGCACACACAGAGACCCCCACCCCATACAGGGACCCCCGCCCCACAGAGAGACCCCGCCCCACAGAGAGACCCCGCCCACAGAGCCCACAGAGAGACCCCGCCCCCCGGAGCCGGTCAGGCCCCGCCCCGCCGCCCCGCAGGGCACAGCGCCTCCTGCTGTCCGCCCCGAGGAACGAGCCCCGCCCCAGTGCTGCGCTGATTGGTCGCCCCCCTGGCACAGGAGTGAGGGGAGGCGGGCACTGATTGGTCAGAATGCTGAGGGAGGGCGGAGCGAACCTGGCGCGTGCGCAGGGCGGGAGGCGTCCCGTGGCAGCGCCGGCACTTCCGGCCGCCGTGTTCCACTTCCGGGTCGCGCCCACCGCCGCCCGGCCGCCGCCTGCGCTGAGCCGCGACCGCAGCGTCGGTACCGGGGGGTCCCGGGGGGGCCCGGGGGGGCCCGGGGGGGCCGGGCGGCCAGCTGGGGGCCGAGGGCGGGGTTGCAGTGGGTTGTACCGGGGAGTGGCGGCGTTACACTGGGTGGAGGGGCTGGGTTGTGCTGGGGTGGGGTGTGCTGGGGTAAACTGGGCTGTACTGGGGTGTACTGAGGTGGGTTATACTGGGGTATACTGGAGTGGGTTATACAGGGGTGGGTTATACTGGGCTATATTGGGCCATACTGGGTTATACTGGCGTAAACTGGGCTGTACTGGGGTATACTGGGGTGGGTTATACTGGGTTTTACTGGGGTGTACTGGGGTAAACTGGGCTGTACTGGGGTGTACTGAGGTGGGTTATACTGGGGTATACTGGGTTTTACTGGGCTGTACTGGGGTATACTGGGGTGGGTTATACTGGGTTTTACTGGGCTGTACAGGGGTATACTGGGGTATACTGGAGTGGGTTTTACTGGGCTGTAGTGGGTTATATTGGGTTATACTGGGTTATACTTGGTTATACTGGTTTTTACTGGGTTTTACTGGGTTATACTGGGCCAGGTGAGGCCAGGCTGGGCCGGGCTGGGGTCGGGGTGTGGAGCCTGGGGGGGCTCTGCGGGCAGCAGAGGCTTGGGGGGAGCCCCAGGGGGTTCCCCAGGGGGGTCAGGGGAGCCCCAGGGGGGCCAGGGGTGTCCTGGCCCCTGCAGGACCCCAGCCCACCCCTCTTCCCCCCCCTGCAGCCCCCGCCATGAGGCTCTACAGCCTAAGTGTCCTTTACAAGGGGGACCCCAAAGTGCACTTGCTGAAAGCTGCCTACGACGTGTCCACCTTCAGCTTCTTCCAGAGGGCCAGGTGGGTCTGGGCAGCCCTGCCCGGGCTGGGGGGCTGCTGGGGGGGGGGGTCTGACCCACTGGGGCTGCGGTGGCAGCAGGGAGAGGCTTTTCCTGAGGGGAAATAGCCCAGAGGTGTCCCTGGGGAGCCCCAAATGGGATCAGGGAGCCCTCACAGGGGGCCAGAGGACTCCCAAATGGGGTCAGGGGGCTCCCAGATGGGGCCAGGGAGACCCACACAGGATCAGGGAGCCCCACAGGGGGATCGGGGGGCTCCCAGATGGGGTCGGGGGGCTCCCAAATAGGGTCAGGGGGCTCCCAGATGGGGTCAGGGGGCTCCCAGATGGGGCCAGGGAGACCCACACAGGGTTAGGGAGCCCCACATGGGGATCAGGGGGCTCCCAAATGGGGTCAGGGGGCTCCCAGATGGGGCCAGGGAGACCCACACAGGGTTAGGGGGCTCCCAAATGGGGTCAGGGGGCTCCCAGATGGGGCCAGGGAGCCCCACAGGGGGATGAGAGAGCTGCAGCAGCTCCTCAGAGCCCCCTGGAGCAGGGGAACAAAGCAGGAACGTGCTGTGGCACACGTGGGGGTGTCAGGAAATTCCTCTGGGAGCCAAAATCTCCGTGCCAGGGTTCTGTGGGGCCTCGGGCACCGGGGTCCTGTAACTGCAGGGGTGAAGGGGAAGGGCTGAAACTGCCCAAAAAAAGCTTTTTCTCAGCCAGATGTGTGAGTGGGGCGTGCAGCAGTGCCAGCTCAGTCCCCACACGCTGCAGCTGCAGCTCCTGGGTCCCCAAATCCCCAGAAATCCCCAAAAATCCCCCCAGCAGGCCGTGCCCAAGGAGCACTCTGGGGTTCTGGGGGCAGCAGGGAGGTTTGGAGGGGGGGCTGTGCCTGTCAGCCGCCCCCAGGGCTGTGTTTAGCTGGGATTTGGGGAGCTGGAGCTGGGATGAGCAGGGCTGTGGCTCCTGTGGAACCTGCTGGGCAGGAGCACAGGGCTGGGCTGAGCTCTGCCAAGGAATTTGGCAGGGTCAGGGAAGCACTGAGAGGCCAGATCCTTCTGGAATGCTGGGGAATAAAAGCAGAATTCCAGTGGGAGAGCTGGGGGTACATCCTGGGGTGCAGCTGGTGGTTGGGCTCAGTGACCCCAAGTGTTTCTCCGTGGTGTGGGTGACACCCTGGGGCCGGGGTGGGGGGCTGGGGCTGGCAGCAGGACCCTGCACTGGGGAGAGGTGGCTGTGCTCCCTCTCTGATGAAGCAGGGATGCTCAGGGTGCTCAGGGATCCCTGGGCTGGTTCAGGATGTTCAGGATGTTCAGGAGTCCTTGGGCTGGATCAGGATCTCAGCAATCTTTGGGCTGGATCAGGATGTTCAGGAAGCTCAGGGATCCCTGGGCTGGATCAGGATTTTCAGGATCTCAGGAATCCCTGGGCTGAATCAGGATGCTCAGGATGTTCAGGAGTCCTTGGGCTGGATCAGATTGTTCAGGAATCCTTGGGTTGGATCAGGATCTCAGGGATCCCTGGGCTCGTTCAGGATGCTCAGGGATCCCTGGGCTGGATCAGGATGTTCAGGAGCCCCTGGGCTGTATCAGGATGCTCAGGATGTTCAGGGATCCCTGGGCTGGATAAGGATTTTCAGGATCTCAGGAATCCCTGGGCTGGATCAGGATCTCAGGGATCCCTGGGCTCGTTCAGGATGTTCAGGGATCCCTGGGCTGGATCAGGATTTTCAGGATCTCAGGGATCCCTGGGCTGGATCAGGATTTTCAGGAATCCTTGGGTTGGATCAGCATTTTCAGGATGCTCAGGGATCCTGGGCTGGGCTGTCCCTGCAGTGCAGTCTCCATGGAGCTGGTGTCGGGGCTGGGAGCAGTGCAGCCCCCCAGCCCCTCAGGGATGTGCCCTGGGGGCAGTGCAGCCCCCCAGCCCCTCAGGGATGTGCCCTGGGGGCAGTGCAGCCCCCCAGCCCCTCAGGGATGTGCTCTGGGGGCAGTGCAGCCCCCCAGCCCCTCAGGGATGTGCTCTGGGGGCAGTTTCCCCTCTGGAGCTGCTCCCAGCCCTGGGGGCTGTCAGGAATCCACAGTGCCCCGGCAGGGTGTGTGCAGTGACGTTCCCTTGGCCCCACGCCACCCCCGGGCAGGGCTGTGCCACCCTGCCTGTTTGGTGGCTCTGTGACCCCTCCCTGGTGAATGTCCCTGGGGATTCCAGCTGAGCTGGGAGTGTGGCACCCCACAGGCTGATCCCAGCCTGCCCAGGCTGATCCCAGGGTGATCCCAGCCTGCCCAGGGGGATCCCAGGGTGATCCCAGCCTGCCCAGGGGGATCCCAGGCTGCCCAGGCTGATCCCAGGGTGATCCCAGCCTGCCCAGGGGGATCCCAGGCTGATCTCAGCCTGATCCCAGCCTGCCCAGGCTGATCCCAGCCTGCCCAGTTGATCCCAGCCTGCCCAGGCTGTGCAGTTCTGGGAACAGCACAGCTCTATCTGACTCCTGCTCGTTGTGTTTGGCCCCTTTCCCTGGCTGTGGGGTGACGAGGGCTCGCTGAGGAGCCTGTGGGACAGGCTGAGCCTGGCTCAGGGTGTTCTCCAAACTAGACAAGCCTGGCTCAGGGTGTTCTCCAAACTAGACAAGCCTGGCTCAGGGATGATCTCCAGGTTAGACAAGCCTGGCTCAGGGATACTCTCCAAACTAGACAAGCCTGGCTCAGGGATGCTCTCCAAACTAGACAAGCCTGGCTCAGGGATGATCTCCAGGTTAGACAAGCCTGGCTCAGGGATTTCTCTGGCTTTGGCTCACAGGGTGCCTGGGGGTCAGACCCTTCCATCCCAACTCCTTCCCTGTGCAGCTGCTGCCAGGTCTAGGCCAGGCACAGCCGGCTTCAGAGGCGTTTCTGCCCAATCCCCAAAAAGCTGATCCTGCCCAAGGACAGGAGGCTGTCCCGGGCTGGGGGCTCTGGCTGCTGCCCGGGTGCCTGAGCTGTCCCTTTGGGGTGCCACTCCTCGGAGGGGCAGCGGGGCTGAGGCACAGCAGTGTCCCCAGCATGCCCCAGCAGTGTCCCCAGTGTGTCCCCAGCGTGTCCCAGCAGTGTCCCCAGTGTGTCCCCAGCACTGTCCCAGCAGTGTCCCCAGCAGTGTCCCCAGTGTGTCCCAGCAGTGTCCCCAGTGTGTCCCCAGCAGTGTCCCAGCAGTGTCCCCAGCAGTGTCCCCAGTGTGTCCCCAGCAGTGTCCCTACCATGTCCACAGCTTGCCCTGTCCCCAGTGTGTCCCAGCATGTCCCCAGCCTGCCCTGTCCCCAGCGTGTCCCCAGCGTGTCCCCAGCGTGTCCCCAGCAGTGTCCCCAGTGTGTCCCTAGCCTGCCCTGTCCCCAGTGTGTCCCCACGTGTCCCCAGCTGCCCTGTCCCCATGTCCCCATGTCCCCACAGCGTGCAGGAGTTCATGACCTTCACGAGCCAGCTGATCGTGGAGCGCTCGGCGCTGGGCAGCAGGGCCTCGGTCAAGGAGCAAGGTGAGAGCTTCCCCTGATCCCCCCTGGGAAAAGCCCCCCCAGAACAGAGCCTGGGGGGCAGCTGGGGCTGCTGGGGAGGGGGGCAGCCTGGCAGAGGCTCTGCAGGACCTGCAGGGACCTGGGGGGGGTTCTCGGGGACCTGGGGGGGTTCTCAGGGACATGGAGGGGTTCTCAGGGACCCACAGAGGTTCTCAAGCACCTGCAGTGGTTCTTGGGGACCTGGAGGACCTACAGAGGTTCTCAGGGACCTGGGGGGGTTCTTGGGGACCTGGGGGGCTTCTTGGGGACCTGGAGGGGTTCTCAGGGACCTGCAGGACCCACAGAGCTTCTCAGGGACCTGCGGGGGTTCTTGGGGACCTGGGGGGGTTCTCAGGGACCTGCAGAGACTTGGGGGGGTTCTCAGGGACATGGAGGGGTTCTCAGGGACCCACAGAGGTTCTCAGGGACTTGCAGTGGTTCTTGGGGACCTGCAGGACCCACAGAGGTTCTCAGGGACCTGCTGCAGTGCCTGGCAGCCTGGCAGAGGCTCTGCAGGACCTGCAGGGACCTGGGGGGGTTCTCAGGGACCTGCAGAGACTTGGGGGGGTTCTCAGGGACATGGAGGGGTTCTCAGGGACCCACAGAGGTTCTCAAGCACCTGCAGTGGTTCTTGGGGACCTGGAGGACCTACAGAGGTTCTCAGGGACCTGGGGGGGTTCTTGGGGACCTGGGGGGCTTCTTGGGGACCTGGAGGGGTTCTCAGGGACCTGCAGAGACTTGGGGGGGTTCTCAGGGACATGGAGGGGTTCTCAGGGACCCACAGAGGTTCTCAGGGACTTGCAGTGGTTCTTGGGGATCTGCAGGACCCACAGAGGTTCTCAGGGACCTGCTGCAGTGCCTGTGCTCTCCCTGGCTCCCTCAGGACCCCCGGAGCTCTTGGGTTGCAGCCCCCCAGCTTCCCAGACCACCCCACTGCAGAGTGGCTGTGCCAGCTTTGCCATGCAAGCCGAGGCTCCACATCCTGAATTCTCAGCTCATTCCAGCCGCCTTGTCCTGCTCCACATCCCTCCTGAGCCCCAGGACATGTGGGAGACAGCCTGGACTGGCTGCTGGAGCCCCTTTAATGACACCCCAGCCTTGTTATTAGTTAAAATTAGTTAAAATCAGGCTGAGCTCTTCCCCCAGTGATTTTTATTTACCTCTGGCTACCGTGGCGTGTCACTTTTGACACATGTGGGCCCTGGCCACAGCACAGTTTGGAGCTGAGCCCCAAATTCTGAGCCCTTCCTCCTTTCCTGATGACAAGTGCAGGTGCTGGTGGGGCCTTGCAGGGTGGTTTGGGGGAAGCTGAGGGGCAGGGTGGGGTGCTGGGGAGGGCTCAGGGTGCCACTGCCTGTGTGACAGCAGTTTCCTTGCAGAGTACCTGTGCCACGTGTACGTGCGGAGCGACGGGCTGGCCGGGGTGGTGATTGCAGACAATGAGTACCCCCAGAGGGTTTGTTTCACCTTGCTGGACAAGGTGAGGGCTCCTCCAGCCTCCCTGCCCTGCCACACCAGGGCTTTTGGGCAGGCAGGGCTGCCCACCTCGGCCTGGGCATTGTTTGCCAAGACTGTTCACCTCTCCTGCTGGGGCTCCAGCCCCTTCCCCAGCTCTGTTCCTGACTCTGGGCACACCCAGCCCCTTCCCCAGCTCTGTTCCTGACACACCCAGCCCCTTCCCCAGCTCTGTTCCTGACACACCCAGCCCCTTCCCCAGCTCTGTTCCTGACTCTGGGCACACCCAGCCCCTTCCCCAGCTCTGTTCCTGACTCTGGGCACACCCAGCCCCTTCCCCAGCTCTGTTCCTGACTCAGTTCCTGTCTCCCCGTGTCCTTCTAGCCATGAGGGGCCCAGAACTGGGCACAGCCCTCGAGGGGATTTGGCAGTGCCAGCACAGGTCACTGCCCTGGTGCATGCCCAGGGCTGTGGATGAGCTGTGAGGCCCCTTCCCAAAAACCTCCTGATCTATTTTGATGAGCAAAACCCTTGCAGCCACTGTGGCCCCACAGCTGTGGCTCCTGACTGCTGCTTCCTCACCTGGCAGGTGCTGGACGAGTTCTCCAGGCAGGTCAGCAGGATGGACTGGCCCTCAGGGTCCCCTGCCACCATCAGCTACTCTGCCTTGGATGGATACCTCAGCAAATACCAGGTGCAGACCCCTGCAGGGCACAGGACACAGGGTTCCTGTGTGTCCCCCAGCCCTGGAACTGCTGTTCCTGTTCCCCTGGTGTCCCTGTGGTGGTGGCAGCTCCATCACCCTGCTGTTTGTCCCCAGAACCCCCGGGATGCTGACCCCATGACCCGAGTGCAGGCGGAGCTGGACGAGACCAAAATCATCCTGGTGAGGCTGCAGAGGGGGCCCTGGGCACCTTGTGGGGCAGGGTGGAGTCACCCCAGGCCATTCCCAGAGACCTCCCTGGGCTGGGAGCTTCCTTTCCTCTTCCCCTTTTTTCTCCTTGGGCTTTTCCCAGCTCTGAGCCCTTCTCCCCATGCCAGCCTCCTCTCTGTCCCCTGCCAAGTTCCATCTCCCCTGGGGCTGCAGGGCTGGGGGGGCTGTCAGAAGGTGGCTGAGGGGTGGTGGCACCTCCACCTCGTGCTGCAGCCTGCCCTGGGGCTGCTGCTGGAGCTCAGCACCCGTTTCTCTGGCAGCACAACACTATGGAATCACTGCTGGAGCGTGGGGAGAAGCTGGACGACCTGGTCTCCAAGTCGGAGGTGCTGGGGGCACAATCCAAAGCCTTCTACAAAACGGTGAGTGTGGGGGTGACCCCCTCCCTGAGGGGGGTGGCCAGGGTCAGCCTTGGGGGGCCACAGCTCTGGGGGCCAGGCAGGGATGTCCCCTGTGCTGCAGGGAGGGAGCTGGGTGCCCCAGTTCCAGCTGCAGAGCCCCCAGCCCTCCCTGGGTGTCCAGCTCTGGCCACAAGGAGAGGGGAGGCTCTGGGCCCTCAGCCCTTGTGCTTTGTCCTCCCCTGGCAGGAGAGGGGCTGTGTGGGACCCCAGCTGGGTGGCCCTGGGACCCCCCCAGACCCTCGGGCAGCTTCACAGATGGTTTTCCTTCTCTTCTTAGGCCCGAAAGCAGAATTCCTGCTGTGAGATCATGTGACGTGGAGCCCGGGGTCTCCACCTCCGGACCACCAGCCCTCCACCCCCCTCCACAGCCCCCCCAGGGCTGTTCCTGGGGCTGGGCCGGGGGTCCCCAGCCCCCTGGGCTGATGTGACTGTTGTCCACCTTGAGGGGACACCAAGGCTGGCACCGGGCCGGCGCCCACGGGGGGTGGTCCACACCGAAGCCCCCCCACCCTCGCTGTTGCTGGGACAGCTGGGACCAGGGGCTGCCTGGCCACGCACTCCCCTGCCTTCACAGCCCCCGGGAAGCCTGGAGGAGCCCCCCACTGCTGTCCAGGGGCTGAGGGGGCAGGCTGAGCCCCCACTGCCATCCCAGGCAGCTTTTATGTATTTGTGTCCTAAGGGTGAGCTGGGGGGTGGGAGAAGGGGGGAAGGGGAAAAGGTTTTTTTGGGTGGGGGGGGTGCTCTCTGCCCCCCTGGGCAGCTCCTCCCCAGGCTGCTGAGCCCGGAGCTGTGTCCTGGTGCTGGGGGAGGGGGGAGCCCACCAGGCTGCACCTCGGAGCCCCTCCCCTGCTCCCACCAGCCTGGGTGGGGGGCTCAGCACCTGCCAGCCCTCGCTGCCTCCTCTTCCTCCTCGTCGAGAAGGGCAAGGTTGGGCTTGGGCTGTAGCTGGGCTTGTTTCTGTGCCCTGGCTGCACGGCCAGGGGATAAAGTGGTCTTTGGAAGTTGCAGCCCTGTTCCTCTCTGCGGCGTCCCGGGTGGGGTTTCAGACAGACAGACAGACACGAGCTGGGGACGGGTGCACCTGGCCTTCCCTCTCCACCTCTTACTTCAGTGATCATTGGTTTTTCCTCATAATTTATTTGCAGTTTTCCCGAGACAAAAACGAAATCAGAGTCATCTTTTACACTTACAAGGCTCAGAAAGAAAAGACAAAGGGGTTTTTTTTTTGGGGGGGAGGGGCATGGGGGGGATATGCTGGGGAGGGGGAGACAGAAAAAGAATGAGAGAAAAGGGGAGGAAGGAGAAAAATTTGGCAACGATCCACCAGCATTCATGGGACAGGAACAGCTCAGCTCCTCAACATACAGCGTTAGCGCCCGAGGGTTGCTCCCGCGCAAAGGGCATGCAGAGAAATCATCAGAATAATTAAAAAATAATTAATATCCCCCGCCCCCCCCCTCCCCCCCCAGCCAAAACCAGCCCTCAGCATGGTGGGGATGCCCTGGGGAGTCGCGAGCTGCCCCATGACGTGGCACCCGCGTCCCCCCTGCCAAAACCTGCCGGCACCCGCAGCTGGCACCTGTGGCAGGGGGTGCCGGGATGGGGGGGTCAGCGGGGTGGGGACACGGGGGTGCCCCTGCAGGGTGACCCTCCCCTGGGCAGCAGCGCCCAGGGTCAGCCTCGGGCCCCACGGGCAGCGCTCCCAGGGGAGGCACTGGGCTGGGCTGGAGGGGAGAGAGTCTCTGTGTGTCCCCCCCCCACCTCGCTCACCCCCCTGGCAGCCCCCCGTTGCTGGGGACCCCCGTGGGAATTCAAAAATAAATAGCTCTCTCTATGTACAGGGGCTGGGGCAGGACAGAGCAAAGCGGAGCCCAAAGAACAACATCCACCACCAGCGACAGCAACACGCCACGAGCACAGCCGGGAGGGGGGCCGGGACCCCCCTTCCCCCCCAGCAGAGACGGGCCAAGGGGGGGGGCTGAGCCCCCCAGCGCCCTCGCCTGTGGCCGAGCGGCTGGGTTGGGTTTGGGGGTGTGGGTGGGGGTTTGGGATTGGGGTAGATTTTCCCCCTTTTTTTGTTGGTTTGTTTTTTTTGGGGCCGGGGTAGGGGGAGGGGGGGACAGGCATGCGGACGCGTGCTTCGGGGGGGCCGCAGCTCCGGCTGCCGCTCGGCTCCCATCGCCGTCTCCGTCGGGCTGGAACCAGGACAGCCACCGCAAGCTCTGTGGGGACACCCTGGTGAGCCACCCCCGGGGGCTGCCCGTCCCCCCCCCACCCTGAGCACCCTGCCCGGCCTCACCTTCACTGCAGCGGGGCCACGGGGGCCCCCGAGCCGTGGAAGTGCACGTTCTGCCACTTGCCGTCGCGCCGGTGCCACACGCGCGTCTCCTCGGACTGGCTGGTGCGGGGCCGGCCCTGCGCGTCGATGTACTGGGTCAGGCGGATGTAGGCGATGCACGCCGCGTCCTCGCCGATGACGTGCACGTGCGGGTTCAGGATGGTCGTGTGGATCGGCTTGTTGTTCTTGGAGAGCACTGCGGGGCGGCGAGGTCAGCGGGGCTGGCGCGGGCAGGGATGGGGACAGGGAATGGGCAGGGATGGTGGCAGGGAATGGGCAGGGATGGGGACAGGGAACAGGCAGGGAAATGGGACAGAGAACGGGCAGGGATGGGGACAGGGAAGGTGACAGAGAATGGGCAGGGATGGGCAGGGATGGGGACAGGGAACAGGGAAGGAATGGGCAGGGTAATGGGACAGAGAATGGGCAGGTGATGGGGACAGGGAAGGTGGCAGGGATGGGGAACGGATCGGGCAGGGGACAGGCAGGGAAGGGCAGGGATAGGGGCAGAGAACAGGCAGGGGAAGGAGCAGGGAATGGGCACGGATGGGGACAGGGAATGGGCAGGGAAAGGGGCAAGGATAGGGACAGGGAACGGGCAGGGGAAGGGGCAGGGAATGAGCAGGGAATGGGCAGGGATGGGGACAGGGAAGGTGGCAGGGAATGGGCAGGGATGGGGACAGGGAAGGTGGCAGGGAATGGGCAGGGATGGGGAACGGATCGGGCAGGGGACAGGCAGGGAAGGGACAGGGATGGGGCAGGGCAATGGGACAGAGAATGGGCAGGGATGGGGACAGGGAATGGGCAGGGAAAGGGGCAAGGATGGGGAGAGAGAATGGGCAGGGAACAGGCAGGGAAGGGCAGGGATAGGGGCAGAGAACGGGCAGGGGAAGGAGCAGGGAATGGGTAGGGATGGGGACAGAGAACGGGCAGGGGAAGGGGCAGGGATGGGGGCAGAGAACGGGCAGGGGCAGGGATGGAGCAGGGAATGGGCAGGGATGGGGACAGAGAACGGGCAGGGGAAGGGGCAGGGATGGAGCAGGGAATGAAGGGGCAACAGGCAGGGAATGGGCAGGGATGGGGACAGAGAACGGGCAGGGGAAGGGGCAGGGATGGGGGCAGTGCAAGCAGACACGCGGCCCAGCAGAGGAGGGCTGGGGACAGGCAAGCGAGGTGACCAGGATGGGCAGGCAGTGGGCAAGAGACAGGGGACAGCGAAGGAGGCAGGCAGGGAGACAGGAGGGCTCGGGCTGGGCTGGAAGGGAGAGGAGGGGCTGGGCAGGACGGGCGGGGCAGCTCGGGTACTCACAGTTCTCGAAATAGAAGCGGTGGAAGTCCATCCCCTCCACCAGGTTGCCCAGTGCCTCGGGCTCAAAGGAGGTGAGCCCCGGGTCGCAGATCTTCCTGCAGGCAGCAGGTGAGAGTGGCCCCGCCCTGCCCGGCCCCACCCTGCTTGGCCCCGCCCCTCCCTGCCCCACCCCGCTTGGCCACGCCCCCCGGCCACGCCCCACTCACGCGTAGGCCTCGAAGTCGCCGTTGTTGACGGCCTCGATGAGCTGCTCCGTGATCTTGATGATCTCCTGCTTGCGGGCTGGGGGCACGCCACTGTCACCGGCACCGCCCCGGCCCCCGGGGACACCGTGCGGGGGGACGGGGTGGGGGGGTGGACGTGGGACGTGAGGGGGAGGCATGGGGACGGACACAGGGACAGGCAGACAGACCTTGGGGGCAGAAAAACCTTGGGGACAGACAGACAGACCACGGGGATGGACCATGGGGACAAACACGAGGACCTTGGGGACAGACAGACCGACCATGAGGGCAGACAAGACAGACCACAGGGACCTCGAGGACAGACACAGAAACTACGGGGACAGACAGACACCCCTTGGGGACAGACAGGGACCCCCACAGCTCTGCCACACCAGTATTCACACGTCTCGCTGCTAGCCCAGTGCCACCCCTGCGTGTCCCAGTGCCGTCCCATTGCCCTCCCAGCGTGCTCAAGCACCCCAGTGCCTGCTCAGCGTGGCCCAGTAGCTCCAAGTGCCTCCCAGCCCCACTCCTCCGAGTCCCAGTACATCCCACTGCCATCCCAGCACATCCCAAACAGCCAGTTCCATACTGGTGTTCCCCAGTTCCACACTGGTGTTCCCCACTTCCATACTGGTGTTCCCCAGTTCCATACTGGTGTTTCCCAGTGCCATCCCACTGTGTCTCAGTGCCATTTCAGTGCATCCCAGTGCCCTCCCAGTTCCGTGCATCCTGATACATCCCAGTGCATCCCAGAGCTGCTCGTGTGCTCTGATGTGTCCCAGTGCCAGCCCAGTGCATCCCAGTACACCCCAGTCCAATCCTCCTGCACTCCAGTGACAGTGACACTCTAGTGCCATTCCAGCTCCATTCCACTCATCTCAGTCACATCCCAGAGTGTTCCAATACCACTCCAGGGCATCCCAGCATGCCCCAGTTTACACCAGTGGCTGTCCAGAGCCATCCTACTGCATTCCAATGCAACCCAGTGCCCTTCTAGTATATTCCAGTTCACCCCAGTTCCTTCCCAGTGCATCCCAGTACCACCTCTGTGCATTCCAACACCGCCCATTTGCATCCCAGTATGTCCCAGTACTGCTCCAGAGTGTAACAGTACACTCCAGTTTGTGTCTGTGACTTCTCACCACATCTCTGTGTCCCACTGCTATTCCAGGGCCTCCCAGTACGGCCCAGTTCTACCCAGAGCAGCTCTTGGTCCCATCCCACCGTGTCCCAGTATCACTGCAGTGATCCTGGTGCCATCCCAGTGCCTTTCCAATAACCCCACTGCCATTCCGGTGCCATTCCAGCATGTCCCAATCTACACCATTTCCATCCAAGTGCATCCCAACGCCTCCCAGTACCCTCCCAGTGCATCCCAGCATGCTCCCAGTGCCATCCTGGTGCCATCTCAATGAATCCTGGTGTCAGCCCAGCTCCAGCCCAGCACACCCCAGATCAATTCCAGTGTGTTGAACGCTCTCCCAGTGCCTCCCAGAAAAGTCCCAGTGCCACCCCAATCCTGTTGCCATCCCAAATCCCACCCAGTGCATTCCAGTGCTGCCCCAGCACACCACAGTGCACCAGCAGCATCTTGGTGCCATGCCAGTTCCAGCCCAGTTCGTCCCAGTGCAATTCCAGTGCAATCCAAGGCATCCTAGTGCCAATGCATCCCAGCTCTATTCCAATGCATTCCATCCAGCACGATGCTCCCAGTGCATCCTCGTGCCACCCCAACGTGCCCTGGTGCCATCCCAGTGCATTCCAGTGCCATCCCAGTGCATCCCATCACCGTCCCAGTGTATTCCAGTGCCACCCCAGCTCCATCCCCATGGGTTTCAGTGCTGCTCCAGTGCATCCCAGTGAACCAAATGCGTCCTGGTGCTACGCCAGTGCCATCCCAGTGCCATTCCAGTGCACCCCAGTGCATGTTAGTGTCACCCCATCTCCACCCCAGTGCATTCTAGCACATTCCCAGTGCATCCCAATGCATCCTAGTGCCACCCTAGTGCATTCCACAACTGTCCATCACAGTGCCATCCCAGTGCATCCTGAAGCCATCCCAGGTCACCCCAGTACCATTCCAGCGCACCCCGATGCATACTGCTGCCATCCTAGCACCACCCCA